TTAAAATGTGACTAGTTACGCCAAAATGTATTCGCTAAAAAAGTATTCCATCCTGCGTTACCTTTGTGCAATGATTTTGCGGAGGTTCTTGGCAGGCTGTCAAATATTTTTTTAATTTTTCATCTATATTTTGAGGAAGCATGATCACATCTCTCCTGTTCTGGCTGAGCTACATAGGCTTCTTGTCAAGAGCAGAATTGAATTCAAGTTCCTGCTGCTCACATGTAAGGCAATTCTTGGTCAGACCCCAGGAAATGTGTCATCTTTATTCGACTTTCGAATAACGTCGATTTAGTGAAAACCAAACATTAGAAACCGCTATACTATAATGTAAGATGGAAATAGCAATTTTAAACATATTTTGTTAATATAAGTGTCTTTCTTCCTCGCTCGCTTCGATCGTTCCCAAACAGTTACGATGTAAATCGCTTCGAAACACTGTACAGGTATTAAGCACTATACAAGTGTGACTATTATTGTTAATTAAAAAGGTGATGAATTCAGGCATCGATGTGCCTAAACAGCTCCATATTTGGGCAATACGCCTGCACAATATGTCCAAATATCCTATTGAGAGCGAGGTGTCCGAATATATCTTAAATCGTATATTTCGAAATTTCATTTTACCACGCTTGTTCGATTCACCGCCCCTTTCAACATTTAGAAACATTTGGTAATTCTGGGCAACGAGATACCCGGACCAAATTTCATATCATGCGAACAAAAATTGAAAACCACAGAAGGTTTTAGGGAGTTTTGATTTGCTGTCAGGGTGAAGATTTTTTTTTTTAAAGTGAATAAGTAGACGAAAATTAACGCATGTACATGAAGGTTTGCTGTACTGCACTATAGAAGTTTGAACGTGGTAAAAATGAAATTTCGAAATATACGATTTAAGATATATATTCGGGCACTATTCTATAAGGCTATTTTGGCAACACTTTTCAAACATAATCTTTAATATCATAGTTTTTCAAAAGTCATAAAGAAGAGCTATAACACTTTTTGTTTTCAATGCCTGAAAAGTAACAGTTTTTCTTCAGACCCATTTTAACAATTGGAAACGATGTTCATAGTCTTAGTTATGACATTCTGTTTCTAGAAATGGATGTTTCGTAAAAGCCTCACAGAACTTCCTGAACAATCGTTTTTGTTTTGTTGTTGGACCAATTGACAACGGACAATATTGGGATGTACGCAGTAACCAATAGATTAAAAGGAGTAAAACACGTGCTTTGCAACTCTCAATATTTTTAATCTTTTCACTTATAACAGCTCTACTTGTGGCAGTCATACAAAGAGATTCGATCATACACAAGTATGTCCTCCGTAGGAGGACTAGAGGGCCAACTAAAATCGTGACCTTTGACATTTCATAGGTTTTGCATTGGATGCATTATGGGGGTTTTGTCCGATTTGAACGACGGTTTTGGAGGGTCAATGAATATTCATGAGCAATGACGTAAAAAATACGCCAACTACTGTTTGATGATTGGCCATCGACAAAATGTTTTATGTATTAGGCCATGCATAAAACATTTTTTTCATTCCCAGAATTCCCTACGATTTGAGCACGAAAATGGCGATTGTGTGAACTGCAACTTTCAAGTTATTCAATTACGAACAATGAAACACTTTTCTTTTAAGTGAATTTCTATTATAATAGAAGTTTGTCAAGTACATCTCAGTGAAGCAGAAAATCTTCAGGCGAACATTGACATCGGAGTGATACCCTATGATATCAAGAAAAGTAAGTAAAGATCCATTTTGTGTGAAGGTCTCTGAAATAATTGTGATGTGTTCGTCATTGCAGTGAGGGGCTCTCCGCATTGTCACAACGTATTACCCGGTTAACCCCCTAGATCTATACCCTATCCTCTTTTCTTTCTTCTGACCAAAGAATATTAATTGATTGAATGAACTCTAATTTAAGTCATCGACGGTAATATTTTTTAGAAACAATCAGGATTATACCGTAGGTTATTTCATGAGAGCACATTTCATAAAGTTCAGTTCATAACTTGATTACCGATAGTAATCAGTCGTAGATGTAGACCTGTTGTAGACTGCGCAAATGGCTCATTGCTAGTCCAAGCCGATGAGATCTCGTCGAGCAGTTTATGATTTTCAATTCGCCGGTGCTAGCCGGCTGTAACACTCCACCAAGAAGCGACTGCGTTTCTTGAGCTGGCGCGGCTATAACAGTGTGTTACTGTAAAGCCTAGGCTAGTATTCATAGCATAGTCTAGCCTGAATTTTCTGTCTCTTTCGTTCGTTAGCCTCTGATTGGGTAGGGTCGGCTCCTCTCTTGACGTCAGCCAACCCTACCCAAATCAGAGGCTAACGAACGAAAGACTCAAACTCAAAGAGACAGAAAATTCGGGCTAAGCCAGCAGAGCCTAGGTCTAAGTTAGATCTATCATCTATGATCTAGACTAGGTAGGTCTAGTCTAGATCTAGCACTTGAGTATAAACGGCATTTAACCCCGCATCTAGTATAGTATAGTATAGGCGTCGATCTAGGCCTAACGCATTCTAATAAAAAAAAGACTCAAAAAATGCCTGGTTTAGGTGGATCAATGTGGAAGTTATGGAGGGGGGGGGGGTGCACAATCATTCTGTGCCCCCTTTTTCAGATGTGGCATAGGTCTAGATCTAGGTCTAGTCTCTAGAGCCACCTAGACTAATAATAATATAAAACAGAGGCAATTAGATCTAGATCTATAGCTTGTGTTATGCCATAGCAAAGACTTCCATAACCATGGGTCTAGGCTCGTTTTTGTTCCACTAGACTAGACTAGTCGTGCGCATGTGTCATTATTGTGATCCAGGTCAAGATTCAGCCTAGTTCGAATGTAGATCTAGAGGTCTAGGCTAGATCTACCAAAAAAAAAGGTGTCTCCTCCCACCCCCCCCCCTCCCACTTCCCCTGATTTCGCTCTTAGTTATGTCATTGTGCCTTGTTTGAAATAATTGGTTTATTTTCAGGATTTTATGCCACCACTTTTATGTTGGTGAGAATTCTGGATCCAACCCTACATTATTGTGATATGGATAATATATTTCTTTCTCTAAAGGACATGAACAAAGTTATAAACTAATAACTAATGCATGCATTTGATATTAGCAGGAACCTTACTAAGTTTCTGTTTTCTTTTAATTGTAGATCCTGAACAAAGAAGCAGATAATGATCACAGAAGTGCAACAAAGCACCAGGACCTGATCATCAAATGTTATGGTGTAGATCTAATCAGGAACAGGACACATAGTTTGAACTCTGGCAAGGTATGTTTGTATGAAGTTCAAAAATATTCTGGCTGTATAATCTAAGCCCATGCGAACACAGCACTCATCCTTGGACTATATACAAAGATTTGGGGGAACTGTCATCTTGTGTTGCATTATATCTTGTAATTCTCATTTATTCTCTAGCTTTATTTATATAGGTGACAAACTATGGTGTTGCTACAGTTTATTCTCTCAGCATATTAAAAGATGTACTCAAAGGCATTTTTTCCTAAATTTTACATATTATATCTAACAAACTTTTGTTTACAAAGGTCTAGCAAATAATAGCTTAAAATAAATTGGAAGTTACTTTTAAAATAATTGGAAATACATATAAACCTTTACTCTTCTCTTCAAAAAAGGCCCTATGAGATAGAAATAAGTTTATCATTTTTTAATAAAATTAAAATGCAAGACCTAAAAAAAGTGGGGAAGTACTATTTTTGAAAATCCAATATAATGCAGCAGTTTTAACCTTATTTGATTTCTCTCTTTTTGTTTTTATAATGCAGGTCGTCCCATGCAGAAGGTTTGATACCCAGGCTTCTTTTGTACAAGTCCCTAGACCACCCTCATCTTGAGAGCTGTTCCAGTGTCTGGGATCCCTACAACATCAGATTTCCAGGACGCTACTTCACAATGGGGACCACAAGAGTACCAACATACTGAGATGATCAGCACGTTTTAGTTGCCTACTATATCTACAACTACAAGGCACTCTGCAAGAAGACTGGGAATGGTGCACAAGATAGTCAATGGTCTCTCCGCTCTCCCTTGAAATGAAATGATGTAGTTCAATAGTAATACTGTAGTAATATAATTAATGACATTACTAATAATAACAATATTAAAAATAGTAGCAGTAATAACAATGATAATACAGGTAGTAGTAAAAACAACAACAATAATGTCTAATGTAAGATAAAGTACTCATAAAACTCAGTAAATACCTGTGCTTTACATAATAAAAATAGCATGTTGATATTATTGAATATTTTTTTTCAAAATATACAGTAAACTTTTACAACTGAAAAATTTGAATTCAAGAGACAGCACCCCCCCCCCCCCCATCCATTTGTCATCCTTTTGTTGATGTCATGTTGGATTTAAAAAGATCTTTATAGAAACAAAATATGTTGATAAATGAGTTCATAAATGTTAATAAATTAGTTAACACTGCTTAATTCTGTTCTTTTCATTTTCTTATTTTGTGAAATATATGTGATGGTGCTGGTGATTATGATGATGTAGGCACTCTGTAATGATAATGCTGTATGACTGAGGTGAGATGGGGTCTGATGCAGTCTTGTGTAGAATTGAGTATGGTGTTCGACCTTTCGATGTTTGTTTATATCTGGTATCAGCGAGATAGATTTAACCATCTTTCCTAATGAGAGAGAAAGCGGAAATGTAACAAGAGAGTGGGTAAGACTAATGTATGAATACAGTAAAAAAAAAAAAATGGTTTACAGTAAAGATGAGGGGGGGGGGGGGGTTAAATAAAGAATAAGTCAATGCCAAAATGATGAAAGCATAGGTAATTGGGGTGTGGATGGGGGGAGGGAGGTTAATAGAGCCTATGGAAATGTCAATATTGGAAGGGGTCCCTGTATTAAAATGTTACTGTTTGGGGGGAGGGGGCAAATTTAAAAAAAAGCAGTGGCAATTAACGAATGCAAAAATTTAAATTTCATTGGGGATGGGGCACAATATGAAGAACATTGAAGTCGAGGTGAGAATGATTCTTTATTTGGACACTAAAAATATGAATATATCACTTGTTAAGTCGGCTAAATGATCAGTTCCGTTTTTTCTGATTTAAACAAATATTTAAGTTAATAAACGAACAAAAAAAAGAGGTAAAAAATGAATTGAGGTACCACAGTGAAATGGGGTCATTATTTTTGCCTTTTAACTGAACTGAATTTAAAAAAATGTACTTTCCATCCTGGTGACAGTGAAGTTTGTGGCCCCAACTAAGTGAACCATTTAAAAGTTTATTCCCCCCCCCCCCCCAACACACACACCTCCCAACTCTGCATGACCTTTGTTCTACATTTATCCGGCCCAATTAAGGATTATAGTAACGCATGCGCATTGTCTTTTTTCATTGCGATAATATGCTAATAAGTGGAAAAGAGCTCATGAATATTCCAAATTTTAATTTAAGTATTTTGCGCGCTACGCGCAGTCCAAAATCCCCATTTCGCTGGTGCACTAAAAATTTGTCGTCTTCATAGGCTAATACATGAAAAGTGGAAGCAGTGTGCACTTTTGACCCTCCAAAATTTCCCCATGGCTAGACGGATGCAGAAGCGGAGTTGAACCCCCCTGCAGTCATATATCGACAGCGCCCCTTACGTCGTGTCCTGCTGATTGGTGGTTCTTGCATGGTCTCTATAGGTGTCATGTTGACATCCTTCGCTACGAACAAAGCTTCGATTGGAATCTTCCTCTCAGTTAGTGGTAAGAATAATTGAGGCAACATCATAATTTGTATATATTCTGTACGTGGAAGTGTGGTGGTATAGTGGTTCATTCACTTGTCTCTCAACCAAAGGGTTGAGGGTTCGAATCCCAATCCGGTACTAAGTTCTGTTGGCAAGGTATTAATTCACACGTGCTCCTCCCCACCCTGGTGTACATGGGTACTTGTCATTTGCTGGGGTAATACTAATGACAGGGCCCTCAGGAAGAACAGCATTGATGCTGATGAAGATTCCTTGGGTGAACAAAATTGTTACTATTATAATTTGTTATAATAACATTTCATTTATAAAGCGCCTTTTCATGAGATATAGAAAATACGTACAAACAAAAACGGAAAAACAAAACAGGAAATACTTGCAAACAAGCAAATAAGAAAAAGAACAATAGAATACATAGCTTAAATTAATTGCAAAACAATACGAGGACAAAACAATTGTTTTTCAGACACTTTTTGAAAGCTGCGAGAGTATGGCAATTCTTTAATATAGGAGGTAAGGAGTTTCAGGTTTTAGGGGGAATAACTGAAAAATCATCAACACCTATTTGTTTTACTTGTCCGAGGGACGGTATGTGCATTACTGCGAGGGTGTATTGTACATGGATGTTGCACCTAGGCAGGCACGTAGCCACGGGGGGGGGGGGGGATTTTTTTCTCCAATATCGGTTGAATTGTTTAAGACCCCTCCCCAGGACGTCGATCAATTACATGTATGTCCCCCCCCCCCCCCCCAAACAAAACATCAACATCTGGCTACGGCCCTGCACCTAGGTATCATAGAATTTAGAATGGTCTTCATTGCTTCAATTAAGCATACCTCTCATTTTACATAATTGTATCATGGCTCACACTCTCTTTCTCTCTTTTCTTCACTGCCCTATCCAACTGCTACCTTTGGTCTTCTTTAACTCTCTCTCTCTCTCTCTCTGTCGGCTTCCCCACCATATACAACTGATTTCGTGTAACTTATCAAACTAAAGTTGTTACGCCTGTATTTTAACATTACCGAAATTGTCTATGATTATGATTATTTCTTTTGTATACTGATATGTAACCTTCTAACCAGTGAAAAACGAATTTCCGAATGTACGATAAATGCTCAATTTCATTTTCAATTTCAATTTTGTTACATTTTTAAAATTCCTTTTATTTGTATACGATGTAGGTTTTGGAAATTGTTTCGTCCTGACCTCGGCCTCTATCGCACTGAATGAACTAGCCGACGAAAATTTTAACCTCATCTACAGCATTTCTATGAGTGGTTCTGGAGTAGGAACGGTGGCTTTGCCTGTCCTGACCGAATATCTCCATCAGTCTTACGGTTGGAGAGGTGGGTTTCTTATCGTAGGTGCACTACTGGCCAACATCATTCCTTGTGCCCTAGCGGTGAGATTTGGTACAGCACCCAATGGGACGGGTGAAGACCGTTGCAGCTCGGAAGACGAGGAGGTTTCAGAAAGACTTTCGTGTGATATACCAACCGGATCCTATAGTACTGCACGCTACCGTGGTGGACATAGAACAGAAGACGAGACGGAATTTGACAGCGATCCGAATCATATCTCACAGAGGGAGTCCTATCCATTGATGACTAGTCATTCAGAATCCTCGACTGACCTAAGTGAGGAGAACAGTACGCTGTCTAACTGCACCACACTATGGGCCAGCTTTCGCGCGTCGGATTTTTATATCGATCCAGCATTCAATTTCTTCTTCTTAGCGATGATATTGATTTCTTTTGGGTACTGTGGTTGGTACAACCTCATCATCCCTCACGCTTTGGAGAAAGGGTTAGCAGTAGAAGAGATCCTAATTCTTACACTCTCTACAGCTGTTGGCAGTGTGAGTGGCAGGGTCCTTGTTGGTCTCCTCTGTGACAACCGCTTTAGTCCAGTCACCATATACCTTATATGCACTTTCCTTGATATAGTTTCACTATTGTTTGACGTGTTTCTTTCATCCCTCTACGTCATCATTGTGTCGTCATTTATCAGAGCAGGAACTATAGGAGGGAGAGCAATATTGGGAACTCTTGCAGCCCGGGAGAGGGCGTCTCCTGGCAAGAAGGATATTGTATTTGCCCTTGGACTTTTTTGTTTCGGTATTGGGCTTCTACTTGGGACCTTCTATTCAGGTATGTTGGTTTGGAAGCAGATGTTGTACTCTAAACAAACAAATAGAAAAAGAATAAACAAACAAACATGTGTATCATGATAATAATATCGAAATTTTGTAATGTGCCACAATCATGTCTGTCAAAATTGTCAAAATGGCGCAGGTGTGAGAAAGTGATATGATTGTGGCCATGCATTCAAACGTAATTCAAGAAAAGAAAGCAAAATACACATAACTTGTTACATACTTCAGGAGATGTTTTGGCAATAATAGAATTAAATCATCATTTCCAACTTAAAAGCAAGGTTTCATCCGTCCAATATACAGGTATCACTTGAAACATTTAAGAGATACTGTTAATAGCTAATACAACATTATTGTAATACAAGTTGTACCAATGTAGTCCTGAGTAAAACATAATTAAACAAGCTTAGATGTTGGGAACAAAAACGTAGTTAAATGAGATTTGAGGTGTGAATAGGAGTTCTCATTTCAGAGTTGAGGATGAAGTGTGTTCCATGTTAATCAGTTCAAGGCAAGAAAGTGATCATGATAATAGACAACATGGAATATCGTGATTAGCAAACCAAAATTCACAAACTCCCCGCATTTCTTTGTTCACATTGTTTTGTTAGAGTAATGCTATTGCATGACATTCAGGCCAAGCATTTAAGACTACAACGCTAAAAAGACTATCATATCATATGAATGTAAAGAATGATATTGCTCAGACTATTGGCTTACAATTAATGAGCCTTATGGGTTATGTAATATTTATTGTTAAAATGATTCCCATTTTCTGTTTTTATCTCGTATCCTAGGAGCAATAGCTCACATATCATCGCATTATGACGTCACATGGTGGCTGGTAGCTGGTATATGTTTGGAGATAGCCATCTTCCTGACTGTATTAGTACCCTTACTTTTCAAGAAGAGATGACCGTTGACAAGGATAGGCGATCATTATCACGATAAAACATTAACAAACTTATTTTAATCAAGATGAGGTTAAGATTTTCAAGAATAAGATTTTTGTTTGGTTTCCCAGATGGTACGGAATCTACCTTTAATTTTGTCATTTTATATGCAAAACACTATATTCTCTGCGAAATACAAAAGGGAACAGCTATCTTTGAATTCTTTTAAGACGATGTTTAAACGTTGTTATGAAGTTGAGCGGGTTCTTTCTATCAAACGCAATAAATTTGTTGTTACTTGATAAATGGAGAGGTTCTGGTTGAAACTGTGGGTAAGAGGTGACTCCAATAGGACTATTTACTGATGGGCGCAGCCCCGAAGCAAATAGTACAATTAGAGTCACCGAGGCCCATAGTTTTAACAAGTTTTTTTCTCGAAAAAAGGCAGGGTATATTTGTTTTAAATCCTGCACTCCCGATTCCCCCCCCCCCCAAAAAAAAAAAGAGAGAAAAAACATTGAATTAATTTGTTTTTTTAAATAAAGTTGTATAAAGATTTACAATTTGGTTTGAAAAATATAAAACAAAATATATCATGCACTATTTCAAGCCACTAGGGAAATTATGGATTCCTCGGCGACAGAAATAGCACTACTTTCTTCGGGGCAACGTCTCTGGGAAGTAAGTGCTATTCCTGCCACATCGATCCATAATTTCAACTAGAGTCTCTCAGTGCATTTAGTTGTTTACTATTTGAGTACCCATGATGATCACAAATGGATGAATATTTCCAAAGACAGGATATTATTTATTAGTTGAGTACCCATACTGGTCAAGAAAGTATACCAAATGCCAAAGATATGATATTATTTATCATAAAATGATGACGTGGATCCTAATCAAATGATTGGTTGAAAGTGTACACGTGACCATGCATTTATTTTGGCAAACGCGAAATTTGGATAACTACCGGTCATTATCCTATGGTAATGACCGGTCATTGGCGATCATGTTTTGCGATCGTAACCATTGAGATTTCATCGTTTTACTTTTACTCGTGAAAATGGCTACCGCGGAATTTAAAACGCCTACGTTTGAAATGCTTTCGACTGAAGAAATGAGGGTGAATGGTGCTAGCTGTTAATTGATGATTTTGTTGCTCTAAAATGACGGAAGAAGTGACATGTGTCCGATGTGGAATGTAAAGCAAATAATTACTCCAATTTCGACCAATCAGATGGCTGGATTTCTAAAGTGAGGTATATACTATTTACTATTAGCGCACCTACGACGATCACGAAGTAATAACAAATGCCAAACATGTGATATTATTTACTATTTGAGTACCTACGAAAAGCAAGAAGAAAAAAACAAATACCAAAGATATCATATTATCGACTTTATCAGTTACCGTGCTTATTTGTTCCCATGCTGATTAAAAAGAGGCAAAGACTGGGAATGTTGGCAATGATAAACAAGATATTATCAGCTTTTTGAGTACCATGGTGATTCCGAAGAGATAAAAATTGCCAAAGATACAAAACTATTGAATAGCTCACTAATTTTGTTTGTCAAGAACATGTTAAGCCTGTGAAAGACAAAACGTTATCATGATTATAAACTATTTTGATACCCATGTTGAGTAAAAAGAGGCGAATATTACATATTATTATTTACTAATCTAGCTACTAGCCATGCTAATCAAGTAGAGACGACAAATTTTCAATGATAAGATATTTATTTAATATTGGATGGCTTTGAGCGTCGGATACATTATTGCTCGAGCTATGACAATATTGGAAGAGTCGAAGACCAGACAAATTGTCATAGCGAGAGCAATATTTATATAGTACCACTCGAAATCAAAGCCATACAATATGATTATTATCAACTATATCAGGCTGACTAGCAAAATAGCAAAATAGGACTCGATAATAAAGCAATATTGTATCGACAGTTGAGTTGACAGAGCAATTAGAAAATAATATTAATCTGTCATCCGGGTACTGCGCTCAAGATATTAAATACACTGATTTATTGTTCCACTTGGAAGCCTTATGAAGATAATGATAAAGGCCATTTTTTGTACCCACGGTGAAGAGATATTAATTATTCTACCCATTCTGTATTACTTACGTTATCTTTATTTTAGTGAAAGAGTTTTTAAAAGATGTAAACGATGCTTTCCTACTTTTCAAAATGTTTTTCCTTTTTATCTTCTATAACAAAATCTTGACAAGATGTGTACTAACTAAATTTAAAAAGCACTTTCTATATAGTTATACTGCATTTGTACTTTTACTAAAGAAATATTTTGAAATAAATCGTGTCTATTAACAATCTTTAAAGCTTGATATGTTCTTAATTTCCTTGCTGTGAAATGGAATATGAATATTAAGCGAGAGAGAGATAAGGGAGGTGGAGGAGGAAGAGGGATAGAGAGAGAGAAAAGGAGAGAGACAGGGAGAGAGATATAGTGAGAGGGGGGCGTCACAGATTTTCAACGAAGATTGTAGTTTTGCTTGAGAAGAAAGAAAAGAAAATAATGTCAACTGAAATAAAGAAAAAGGATATCATACCAAAGAGCAGTTAACAATTACATGAAGATTAAGAAACTTGTCTCCAATAATGGTGTCCGTATACAGCGCAGGAAAGAGGGTTTCGGATGTAATATGTATCTACGCATGCGCAACACGTAGATAAACAGTGGAAGAGCGTGATGAGAACGAGTGAAGCTGTTACTTTTAAACATCACACTGAACACCCCTTGTTCCCGCACACAACAGTCCGAACTTTCTTGATTTATCCTGGGAATACCATAATTTACAATGAATTGTCAGTGGAAAGCTATCATCACATGCTATTTGATGCTAGGACTGTATACAACTGGGTCAGTTTCAACAAGAGGTAAGCCAAATCAACAGGAGAAGGTAATTCCTTGTTTCTCGATCCCTCTTCAATATTTCAGTAAGCCTGCATGCTAAGCTTTTCTTTTAGTTTAACAAATGTTATGATTAAATAAAGGCGGTGTTGTAGTCAAGTCCTATAAGAAAATATGTCCAAGTACATTTTGCATTTTGAGACGGTTGCGTCATGAATATATTATATAACTTAATTGAATTTGTCTATTTTGATATGATTTTTTATCAATGTGTTTTATGAAAGGTATTATTTGATTGATTTATATTATGATGTGATCATATACACTGTCGCTCATAAAGGTGGAATATTTTTTTTTTAAATCCCAGTTTATGGAATTATATTAAAAATAATTTAAAAATAATAGATCTAGATAATAGTATACATTCTCAGATTTTATTGAACAATAATTTGCCAATGTGTGTTTTGCGTGACTGCTAAAGCATGTGTATGCTACTATGCTTATCAACTAGGGGACCTATGCCCTTATGTCATGAATGACAGTAATGAGAATTAATGCCCCACAAAAGGGCACTAATATAGCACATCGACACGGTTTTGATCCTGGGGCCTCACAGTTACGAGGCCATTGCTTTGTCACCGAACCATGACTGTACGCAGTGGGGGCTAGGGTAGGGGCAGTTTCCATAAATAAAAAAAAAAACAGAAAATGCAATAAATTTTCAATAATTTATTGCATTTTACCCCGGTTCCCACCATAAACAAATCTTCTGTGTGCCCATGCCTTGAGCCATAATGCATGGCCGTCCAGAGGATTTTGTTTCTAAATGTATGTAGGCCTACTTAATTTGTATAGCCTATTAGTTATTATTATTATGTTTTAAAAAAATGCAGAAATAAAATCAAACAAAGATTCACATAAGAATAACTACGAACATAATGCTCGTTTAGGATAGCAGTTTCCCCCCTTCTCCCCCAAGGGGGAGGGGGCGGTGAAGGGGTGTTAACAAACAAGCTTATTCTTAAGAATTTATGGGGGTGTCTATTTTCTCGACCTTTAGAACCTCAATTATACCTTTCAAAGTCCTGAACATGCATATTTCATTGGATTTGTGGTCGAATATATTGCAATATAAAGGTTTTAAAAACGTTTTTCGCAATCTGGCAGGAATCAATTCCTTGAAATGCCAGAGCGCCGTAGTGGCAGTCGTGCTAAAGCCAGGGTAATAATCGGAAGCGCCATGAGTGTCAAGTCTGACAGACATGAGCGCTATACACAAGAACCCACTATTATTAATATTTTTATTATCTTACTTCCAAATTCTTTTGAAATCAGACTTGAAATCCCCACTGCACTACTTATAGCTAACAATGCCTAATCGGTGACCATTTGTCCCCCATGATCCCCTTTCATAATTGAGAGCTTATTTGATGAGAATACCACGCGCCAGTGACCATGCAGGGAGGTCTAATCCATCATGGCCCAATTAGTGCGGTGTGGCTTAAGAGATAAAATAAGATATGAAATATCTGGGGAAAGGAGATATAATGCTTTTACGTGTTAACCTATTTTCGTTATTTATTTTTTTCTGACTGATTCTCCTAGTTTCGAAATCTTACTTTCGAAACCTTTTGAAATTATACTTTTAAGAGATGAAATATATTTAATATCCGGAAAAGGAGAAATACTTAAAGTTACGTGTTAATCTATTTTTTCCCTGACTGAATTCTCCTATAGTTTCTAATTGCCTAGATAATGAGCAATCTCCAAGCTTGACTATTGAGTGTCCAGGAATGACCATCAAGCTCACCAAAGTAATCTGTGTGAAGCTGTCTAAATGTGCAGACTACACCCCAGCCTTGGATGACCTATGTACCGGAAGTGATACGACGATAGAATGGAAGGCCATATGTGAATGGACCAACCCGTGTACCATATCAGCATCGTGTTCACCTTCTGTGGCCTGCCCTGAGGCCAACTCTTATATCTACGCTGATTATGAATGTAAGTACATGGGACTATTATAGAAGAGCTTAATTCCAAACGGAGCTAAATCCACTTTTGATGAAAATTGAGTTATTGATATCAAAACATTGTTCACTTAAGTACCAGTCTGGCAAGAAAATTATTTTCCTAAATTTTGGGACAATTGTGAAAATTATGAACCTTCTAATATTATTTATCCATACAAATTTCTCTTTCCTCGGAAGTTAGAAAAATGGATTTACCTCGTTCTAGAATTAAACTCTACATTACTGAGGGTCAACAAATGTTATTGGGAGAACACTGACTGAGTATACTTGTCCA